CACAGAGCCCTCATCAGAGCCTTCCCCAGACTCCAGGACTGGCCCATGTTCCTCCCCAACTTCAACCTACTGCCAGCTCTGTGAGCGGGCCACAATAGACAGTGAGTTTTAGTCCCCCATGGGCTTGAAATTGGCTAGGTGACTTTGAACCAATCACCAAGAGATGGTGAGTTCTAGTCCCGCCTTAGACGTGAAAGTCATCTGGGTCACTTTGAACCAATCACCAAGAGATGGTGAGTTCTAGACCTATCTGAGGCTGAAAATCAGCTGGGTAACTTTGGGCCTGCCACTGTATCTCAGTCCAGCCTATCTCATATGGTTAAGTGAGGAAAATAAGAGGAAGGAATATTAGATACATTCGTCGCTTTGACTTGCAAGTAACAAAGGAAAGGTATAAATAAAACAAAAAGTCGTAATATATCAAAGTCAGGGTAAAGCTACCCTTTCCATTCTTATAATACGAATTTCTCCCTATCACAATTTTCAGCAATCTTAAAAAAAAATGAGCAAAGTTTTATTTACAAATATTTAGTCTTAGTTATTTTTTTTAAATCTATCTTTAGAGGAAACGCTAACCATTTCTTCTTCTGGCAACCTGTCAATTATGGTAAATTTGCAAATAAACTCTTGGACTCAATTCCAGTCACCCTAGGTAGTAAAACTAGAGCAGCTGATGTGAATCCTTCCTCAACCCTCCCAATCTACTCCAGTCTTTTCACAGCTTTATCCAGGTTCACTGCTTCCCAGCAAGTCTGATCAGATCTTCTGTGTGCAGAAATGAATGACATATTTGCTAATCGACCCATTAAGCTTTCTACCTTTCGGCACAGCAAAGCAAAACAAGGCCTGTACCCACCAAATGACTTTTTCAAGGACATGGAGGCATCTTGATTTCGTAAAGCAATCAACCCAACCAATGAGTTGACGCTCTCCGTGTTTATTCAAAATGTGGTGCACATATAAATACCCACACAACATACATGCATAAGGCAATCCCTCCAATAATGGGGAAATGGAGCAATTATTTCTATTCTAAGAAATGGAGAGTGCAAGAGAAGATGATGTAAGCAGTCAAGGAAAGAATGCTGACTTAATGCATTTTTACCCCCAAATTAATTAGACATTCTGAAAAATATTGTAGGAGGGGATGACACCCTAACACAGCTTTCTCCGAAGAGGTTTCCTTCAGATATGCTAAATACTTTAATCCAAGGTGGCTAGTAATTCTGGCAGCTGCAATCCAAAATATCTAGAGGGTATGTTGCTGAGCTCATGCATTTTCTCATTGCCATTTGCCATTTAATAAAGAAATTTGGTGTTTGTCTCCTCTTATTGTTTTGCAAATGGGAACATCAGCAAATACTGGTATTGAAACTACGTTTCCCCCCCCCTCCAAATAAATTAGTATAGTATGCGAACATATCTCTAACAGCCCTCAACTGTCAGGGAGTAGATCTGGAATTTGAGAATGCCACGGATGATCTCACAAAATGGCTGACCCAGCGGGCACGAGCTGATAAAAAAACATCAACTGCCAAAAAACGAATTCATTAAGCTAAAAGGGAGGCATTCCTTCTAACAACCAGAGATTAAGGCAAAACAGGTCTGAGACAGAAAGCAAAATTCAGAGATAGTACAATACACAGCGAAGCAAAGAACCTATGTTCCAAATGCCGAATTTAACTATTTTCTCTTCTCAAACACAACAGAATTCCAGTTTCACACAAGCAAAGGGATAATGCTCGGAAACGGCACGAAAGGGTTAACTTTTAAAGGAAAGATGAAGCTAAATAAAATAAAATCAGGATAAATGGGAGATGCCAAGCAATGTCCTTGGGAGTAGGGTGAAGGAATTCAACTGCCCCATTCAAAGCACTAGCATAGTGATAAACTCTCAGTCAAGGAGGAAAAATCTCCCGGGAGCTCTCCACATTCCATGTTCTCCTTGAGGGACAATTGCAAGGTTTAGAAACGTAGGACCAATCCAATTCCATTTTGCAAGGTTTTAGAGAAGTATGACCAGTCCACTTTCATCTTGCAACGAACTTCAGAAGCTTGTGAATCAAACAACTACCCTGAGCAACATGGAAGAATGCCATGCATTGTCTAAGGCAGGGTCAGTAACCTGTGGCTCTGGAGCTGCATGTGGCTCTTTCATCCCTCTACTGTGGCTCCCTGTCGCCAGTTGGCACCATAATTTTGAGAGGAGCTTCTGGTTGGGTGTGTGTGTGTGTGTGTGGAGTAGAGAAGCACAGCGCACCAGGATACTCTATGTCAAGGGGTGGGTTTTCTGGTCAGCTCCACAATTGATAGGACTTTCGGTTATGACAGGTAGAGGAAAAAGGACTCCGCGCTAGGAGAAGACTTTATGGTGGGGGAACCGAACTCCCGGTCAGCTCCAGAATTAAACAGGGGGCTTCCGGTTAGGACCTTTGTGGTTCCCGGTGTTTTCTTTTCTGTGGGAAATGGGTCCAAATGGCTCTTTGTGTGTTTAAGGTGCCGACCTCTGGTCTAAGGAGATTCTCAGCCATCCAGGTCATGGTTGGTTGTCCCAAAGGTATTTCAAGAAGCTCCAGTTGACTTTTGGAACAGCACCTTTGGGGCAATTCCATGCATTCATTAAGAACTAAGACAGAGATATGCAGAATTCATCCCCTGAAGGCCTTCACATGCAGCTCCATAAGTCTACCGATACATGACCTGCTTTGAAGAGGAATTGTGGCAAGCTCATAAGTTGAAGCTGATAGGCTTCCAGCTTTATAAGCTTCTTACGTTCTTCAGTCTAGATCTAAGTAAACAGCCTGCTCCACTTACAAGCTCCCTTACTCCTGTTATAATGTCATTAAGCCTCTTAGGCTGACAGTTCCCTCTTAGTTCTGGCTGGTAGATTTTTCTTCATTCAACAGAGAAGTTTGCACCCTGGACACATGCGGGAGATTTATATTTTAATCAGCAGGGCCCAGGGAGGTGGGTGGGAGGTGAAATGGGAGGAAGCTTGGCATAAAGTAATAAAGAAAAATCCAGTTTCTGCAAACCAAAGATTTTGTTCCAGAAGCTGCAATCAGCAACTTCAAAGAATAGGGTGGTTTTTTTATATGCAGCCATATACGAGAAAAATTGGCAAGAAGATCAACCCAGTAAATCCTCCAGATAACTTCATGGTACCCCAGGGGAAAAAAGACAATTCTGTAGGGTTCCTGGTGCACTATGATGATCTTCTTCTTCCAGACATTTCATTACCCAACTAGATAACATCATCAGTGTTAGAAGGAAGTGTTAGGTCTTATTTTTATATACTAGTAACTTCTCCTGTTAATGTTAGTGGGAGTGTTCTTGGTGGTTCCTTCGTTATACTGTTAGCTTGTTTGTCTGCATCAGTAGTTCCTTGATTGGGATTTACCTTGATTGTTGGTCTGGAATTAATCTTGGTGTTCATCTCTGCTCATTTGGGTATAGATTGCTGGTGAGGAGGTGTTTTGGCTTCTTGATTGTCTCTTTTCACAGACGTGTAGATGTTGTTTATCTTTATGTTCCTGTTGATGGCCTGTTTATCTGAATGCCAGGCCTCCAGGAATTATCTGGCATTTTTGGACTTTGCTTGATCAAGAATGAACACTGCCACCAACACTAACAGAACAAGGACCAGTTCCATCCTGAGCTACAAATATTCTCTTCTATCAAGACACCTCTGCTGGGTAAGACCAAAGGAACCTAAGGGTTACTTATCCAGTAAAGGATGGCTGGTTTCTAATACCGTATTTTCCAGCGTAGAAGACTACTTTTTAACCCCCAAAAATGATTTTAAAAACCGGGGGTCTTCTTATACGCCGGATATAAGAAAGGCCACACCAAAAAACCAAAACAAAAGAAAAAGCAACGCCGGCACCAGCGCAGATGCCAGCCTTTCAATCGATAACCTCGGCGCTCCTCGCCTGGGCACGTGGATGGATGAGCTCTGGGATGGCTTAGTAAGGTATGGCTGGAGGTCTGGAGGAGGAAGACGCTGAGCTCAAACTACAAAAGTGTGGCAGCGCAGAGGCCTTCAGCCGGCTCACGGGCGCCTGAAAGTAGAGGGTCGTCTTATACGCCCAGTCGCCTTATACGGCGGAATATATGGTACTTTTCCTGCAAGGGACTCTAGCTGCAACTCTTAAGCAATATCTAAAGATGTTGAGTCACCTCTTGTGGATTGCAAATGAAAATGCAGAAAAGTCACAGACCCGACCAATTTGCATCACAACCTTGCTTACCACAGCTCTAAGAGAACCATTAAGTCGGACTTCCAAAAGAGATGCCACCATAAATATCACCCATAGGAGCCTGTGCTTGAATCAGCGCCCTGGGCCTTCTTCAGTGGTGGGATTCAAATAATTTAACCGGTTCTCTGCCCTAATAACCAGATGGGTGGGTGTGGCGGTCATGTGACCATGTGGGCGTGGCCAACTCAACATCACTCACGGCGATGGACGCTTGGCCTTAGCTGTTAAATGTAATCAGGGTTAACCGGAGAGGCAGTTTCTGTAAGCAAGGGAATAAAGATTAGGCTAGAAACAACACCAAAATGTTTCCTTCCTGCCTTCCTTACAGGATTAGCCCTGTAAAGTGGGAAAAAACAAAAGGAGATTTCTTCCAACAACCGGTTCTCCAAACTGCTTAGAAACTTAACAGCTGAATAGATGCGGACTGGCTGAATCC